TATATATATATATAAGTATGTACTGACAGGGGCATGACAATATGCGTTTTGTGCATTTGTTGTATAGGGAAAAATGCATAAAAATAAACTCATCTGCACCATCCGCAACAAAATTCTCCGCTCTGCACATAAATTGCCAGAAAAATACCAGGCAAAAAGATTTACCGACAAAGATACTACAAAAAGCTCTTTTTTTAAGGAATACAATGTTAAATAGAGCATTGTGCAAACCTGCATACATAATTAGTGATACAATTAGACCAGCTGTTTAAATTATTCGTTAGAACGATACAAAAAACACATATATCTAAGAACTGTACAGGCTAGCAGTAAAGCTTAAAATTAGGTTCACAGACATTATGTCATAAGGGTAGGGTAAAGGGTTAGGAAGTTCTTTCCAAAATTAACATCTTAAATTCTTTTAAAAATTTCATTTTGCTAAAACTCTTAATGGACGTAAGCAGATGACATTATGCAATGCTCAGGTTTGAAAAGTTTTTTTTGTCAACGCAACGTGATTATTGACAGTTTTTGGTAGAAAATAAAACACCGATAATCGTCAGATCACTCGAAGACAAATATTCGCTTCATTATTGAGCTAATAACTTTTTAAAGATCAGTTCACTGGGTGAGATTAAGTGCTGTCAGTATATTACTGGGGCCCATTCAAAGTCCTTTCAGACCATTCTGCACCTCCAGCAACTGGGCGGCCGACTTTTGGAACTGCGCTTTCTGCAAAAAAAAGACGACAGTGATTTTTATAAACTGACGTTGAAATGCAAAGACATCATGACAAATTTATGCAACGTTGCTGCATCACAAATACGTTCGGGAGACCCGGAAAATTGTGCTTGCTTTTTCATTCTCATTACTTACATACCTGAGATGCGGATACTAAGGAAAGCAGAACAGCAAATCCCCCAAAACTTTACAAGCTGCATGCCAGTGCATAGGAAAGCAAATGGCCAAAGCAACAATAACAGTTAAGCAACGGCTACTTATTACTAGCTTGGAAAGAATACATTCCGCACAGCGTGGAAGAACCTGTTAAAAAAGATTTCAACGAGCACGAAACACCGTCATATTGGCCTAGCATTTGAACAACGCGACTGATCAAGCTCACCGAAGAGCCGTCAGTGCTAATGCAACCACATGTCAAGTGCAACTTATATCCATCGAGGATTATTCCCCTTCAAGCTACCATTCATGAGGAAACTTCTTCTGCTCAGGTTTAACAGATATGTCTTACTCGTCTTCTCAGTTTTATTGAAGTCGCAAGGATGTGCCATTTTCGTAGAAATCGGCATTCTGATTTAGTCACACTTCGCGTGAGACAGCGCAAAATATCTGTAGGATGTAGAAAAGGACATGTGAGCTTTCGACATTCCAAAAGTCTACTCCTTCTAAGGCATCAAGGTCTTCGTAGTATTTGTATTTCTAATTACTAGATGGTGGAAAAATAAAATTGGGAATACCTCAGTATCGCTAAGATTCTGCTTCACAATGTGAGTGATCCCATTCTCTCCAAGAACCACTGGAAGCGAGAGGTACACATCTTCATTAATACCATGCAAGCCCTGCAATTAGTATGTCATACTAACAAAATGAACGCAACTGCATCGCGAAAACACTGAGGACTTCAATCGACGGACTGGCCCATATTAGTAAAAAACACAGATTTTTCAAAACTGCATCAAAACAGAATTATCAAACTCTGCCGGATTAACGCCATTAATTCGCACCTCAAAATAACTCTCAAGAAGAGAGCACCACCGGCATTTTTGCCAGCAAACGATTACTTTTAGCATTTTGCTACGTCTTCAACTAAATCCCAACGTTTCGGCCTCTCACTGCTGACTTTGATTTTTTTCAACTTTACATCTTAAACAAGTTTTTATTTCAAGCCGATACTACTGAAACAGCAATTATTTGAACCAAGTAGCGGCGCGCACCAGGACAACCGGTACGGTTCGATGAGTTTTGCTCAATTCTTTTGTGCTTAAGAATGTTTATTTTGTTCTACGTAAAATCGCCAAAGTATTGTTTGACTCCCGAGTGGGAAAATCCCGCTCCAAACTTTCATGTGCCCATAAACTTAGGTTCAAGACTTAGACATACCTAGATGCTAAATTTAAATCTTGAGACTCATGCCTGTCAAGAACACTCCCTTAAATTGTAATTTAGTAAAATCTCAGTCCCCTTTAAAACTTCAGCTCTGTATTTTTTCTAATTCTCGAATTAAAAAACTCCCCTCCAAAATTTTCAAGCGTTCGCACGTAAAATCTAGATGTACGTGGAAAGTGGATTTAAATTTCTTACATACTGACGGGGAACAAAATTTTAGCTTTCTTCCTTGTGCGCATTCTGAGTTAAAAAATCTCCTGCGAAAATTTTTCGCATGTAAAATATAGGAAGGACTGGAATTTAAAGACTAAACTGAGAGGCGCATACAGGTAGAAAATATTGCAGTAAATTTTTAGCTTCCTGGCTTTCCTGGAAGCTGGTTGAGAAATTCGATTAAAAATTCCGAACACACACGCGCGCTGAAGCAGTGTTTCAACAATAAGCGTTATACAGCTGTTGCAGTGCAAAAAGCATAAAAAGTGGTAATGTTTAACCAAAAAAATCCCCAACCCTTGCGAAGGGCTGTCTGAGGAGAAAAATACGCAACATAAAAATTTTTTCGTTGGAATAGACAAATTTCTAGAATTCCGCTCTTTAACTCGCAAAAGATGAAGTGAAAGAAAACACATAAGCTGATGAAATGCATCACTTGTCAAAGCCGCCAATTTCACCGTGCCAGTTTTTAGCCTAATGAAAGATATGGTCTGACATACTCGAAAAAAAATTTATAAAATTTACCTTAACGTTGATGGAAAGGGCGCAAACAGCGCGCGAGTTACGAAGGGCGGTAGCAGCAATGGCACCAGTGGACATTCCGATAGCCCAGGAAGTGTAACCCTTCAGCTTGATGATCTCATACGCACTGAAGTACACCAAATTTAATATAACCATCCATAAGTAATTTCAAAGACGGCCCCAGCACGCTAAAACTATTTTGAAGAGAACTGGAAAATCGCACTCGGCGTCTCGAGCACCTCAGAGTTAAATGGCGCGTCCAATCTGGTGCTCTTAGCGGTTTTAGCGGCAATTTCCAATACTCAACTGTATGAAACCCGAACACAATATTTTTATAAGCGACCACGAAACGAAAAAAAATGACCGTCCAGTAGCTTTAGAAAGAATGTCCAGAAGAAGAAAGCTTGACACAACTGCTTCGAACAGGCGCCTACTCAGTAACGTCCAGGATGATACGTGGAAACTCCAGCTTATTTTAATAAATACAGAAATGCTAAATGCCGAATGATTGCAGAACAGCGATGTAGTAAGAGCTAACAGATTAATGAGCCAGAAAAATACGATATCCTATGTTTTCTTAGAAAGGCCGTGAAAACTTGCCAGAAGTAACTATTAGTAACATTTTCAAAATCGATATTTATACTTAAGGTAGATGTGAATGAATTCATGTTTTTCATGGCAATGATTTTTTATAATACGACCTCATGAATTTTTATCTATGTTAAGCAGACTGAAAAATTGTTCCCTTAGTTCTTGTCTTTTTTTGCTGATTATAATTCGACTTATTTAGTCACCAATGACAACTCGGACAACCTTGCTATCTGCACGATTTAAATCAATAAAGGTGCATCGTTCTTCGCATTGAATATTGCTCAGGTGCAACTAATGGGATGGCTTCAGACTACTCGATGGCATTCAGATTACTCGGTGAGGGCAACGCTGATTCTTTTAAATTTAATGTTTTATGCTTATGAGCACATGATCGTCGGAATAACCGGCGTAGGACCTTATGCTCGTGCTGCTACAGCGATGTCTCAACACGTCAGGTGCATCACGCCCTTGATTCTGCCTGTACCTTTCCATTAGAATTCACCATCTGACCAGTTTACGCCACCTTTTCAAAGCCTCTCCCAGCAGCCGTTTACTTTCTTGCAGCCAACATACACTTGGTGCTCTACTTCCATCGGTTGTCGGCAGAAAAAGCAGTCACTTCCTTCCCATCAGATTGCAGCATGAGGTTGCAGTGTATCCTCAACGCCACTCATATGGTGGACAAACTGCTTGCACCGTCATGAACAAATCCTTCACTTCATTGCTCTCTAAGCCACCTTTCGCCTTTTTACTTACGACACTGGCCATGTGTCATCACATCTGCTTGTTACTGCTTTCAACACAGTGGTATTGAAAAGGTGCACACGATTCTTCCAGTCTGATATTCTAAGGACATCAACGACGCTGCGAAACTTTGACACTTTTTGTTTTGGAATACCGCTATCTTTACAGGCATGAAAGAGTTTAGTTTAAACTGTTTCGGTGTATTGATGACATACTGGTTAATAGCAACCTCAGTTTTTGTAGCATTTTACGGGATACGTATGGTCAGACTTTTAACCTTAAAACAACGTATTGCGGTCAACGCATTTGCTTCCTTAACCTTGACATTTATTGTCTAATAACAGATGTGTTTTCGATGTTTACAACAAATCACTTGACTAACCCTTCACTTTTCATCACTATAGTAGTCCCGACAGTAATGTTCACCTCATGGGTACTTTAATGTCCCAAATGCTACGTTACGCTCGTATTTTTTCCTCCTTGGATCGGTTCATTTGGTGTTCTCGGAGACTACTTACGAATTACTTACGTAAGGCCTGGATGTCATTGAGGGACGCTGTTTACAGATTCACTGACAGATATAGAATTATTCTTAATAAATATTTGTATTGCGATGATCGCGGTGTTATGTGTGTTCGCACTATGTTACTTGGTGACGGTGATCCGGTGTTATAGTCGACCCCAGTTGGGTTCTTACACTTTGATTTTTGAGTTTTAGGACTATCAGTATGTCTACACAAAACGAACCCGCAGCAAAACGAAGCAAAACCGACAATCATGTCCTTCACGTTAGTTTAATGTTTTGCTTCATTTTATAACCTACTTAATCCTCTTAACTTTTTTAATCCTCTTTTTTCTCTCCCCACTTCCTTCTGTCTTTCCACGCCACATTTGCTACTTTACATGATGATTAGAGAGCTGTACTGATGATTCCCACCGCTCACCACACCCCTATTTGTCTGTGTTTACAGCTCGGGGATGAAACATAGACAAACATCCCCAAATATTCTCAGCACATGCGTTATCAACATGTTACATTGTTTATAAAACATATTTCTAAACACTATCTCCCAATTTCCCCATCCCATGCGCATTAGCTTATTCCACTTGAAATATTAAATCTCGATTCATCCCATTCCACTCTGTCTATTTACCAGTCTTCAGCATGCAATATTTAGTTGAAGGTATATTTACTTATTGAAGGTGACGTAACTCACAACTCTTCCTACGTCTAAACCGTCTATGTGCAATCTGGCTACTGATATAACGGTATCGAGCACGATCGTTCATTTAAAGCATCTTTAAGCTACTGCAATATCTCATTCTCATTACGAATGCTACCTCCGGTGAGAATTATGTATATTACCCGTGAAGAGTAATTTGTCATTAATGTCCAAAATTTCTAAACATTAGTGCGCATGCAAGTTTTTTTTCTGATATAGCAATATTTTCTTTTCGATTTTTTACAACAGAGAATTTCCACCCTGTCATGCCCAGAAAAGAAGGTCAAAGACGCCGCCGTAGTGCTATAATGTACGAACAAACGAGGATCTCGGTTTGTATGATAAAGCAAATCGTGAAGGAACAGAGTTGCAAAAATTTTGAGTGTGAAAATGTAAAACTAACGCTGAAACAACTCCTTTGTGGATTTCTTCTTGCCATTTATCGGAATCAGCTTTTTTGCCTATATCTGGTTTCACATCACGCAGCGAAACGCCGGCAACGTTAACGCCAGACCACACCGGAACTACAACAGGAAAAAACTTCTCCCATTTATAAACAGCACGGACTGTATTACATCTCAAAACAATATGCCACGTATATGAGAGCAACATGACTGTTAGCATAGTTTGTATGGTGAACAATCACTGATGATATTACTGGGATGTTTACAAATGCTAAGGAAGCAGGGGAAAGTAGATACTGATCGGTAATGTGGTGGTCTAGATCTCACGGGTCGCAATGGAAGAGAGTAGGGGAAAGGCGGGGTTACTGAATAGAAGATCATGGCTAGAAGCAAGAATTGGAAGCAGAAATGCAGCTGGCAAGGAAGTGGGTCCTCCTATGGGTATATTTATGCCAAGCATGATTGTCAGTATTAAGTACGCAAGCAACAGCGGAGCTGCCTCAATGTTGATGAATTCGAATAACGAGGCGAAAACCGATGTAGTTGATGAACTGATGTCGAAAACAAGAAGGCAGCCACGAAACTGTTACGCCGTTCATGATTCCATCGGACAGCGGGATCCAAACTGCCGCTGCCGATTAACAGATATTAAATACTAAAACCAGGGTGGGAGAAAGCAAGGCACCATCCCTTTTTTATGCGTTTAGTGCTGCAACAGTTGCACAAAACGCATGCTGCCGAGAACGTCTGTGTTTGTTTGTGCATGTGCGTTTGCGTGTATTCCGAGTGCATTTTATCCGGAGATTTTAACTCGAGGACCAGCGAAGCTAGAAAACTGAAATTTTGAAACAATGTTTTCCACCCACGTGCGACTCCACAAACTTAAATTCAGCCTTAAAGTACCCTCCGATACCACGTACGACCCCGCGAAAATTTTTTTTTTGAGGGGGGGGGG